ATGATCTGGTAACAGGGCTAAATTTGGAAGATAGAGGGGGTTTGAGTTGAGTTAGGCCAAATCATGTTTTGTGGACAGTTCAACCAATCAAACCACTAATAACAGAGAAAGTCTTCGTTAATTTGCTGTTAAGACTGATGAGATGACGTGTTCGTCTCTCATTGGTAGGTGCACTCATCCAATGCACCCATGGGCGCACAGAATGCGGACTCTTAAGGATGTGCGTCAACGACGAAAGCAAGGCTATGTATTTTGTGGCCTATTTAATGGGGCAAATCAAGACGTTTGGGGCATCTTGGGCATGAACATTTTCCCTTGGGCTCAGTTTGGAAGGAGTACAAATACAAATATGTACCGTGTAAATACATACAAAATAATACAAAATACAAGGTTTTGCAATCTACAAATTTGTATTTGTACTCTTTCTAAACTGAGCCTTAGTGTGCAGTAATAAATCATTCTGGTGACAACCCATTTGACAAACTCTGTTGTGTGTATATTTCTTTGTCTTTCATGCTTTGTTGCTTGACTAACTAGGTAGGGTGTTTGGTGCCACACGAGAGTTTAACAGAAGAAAAATAACGCTCCCATCTTAATTGGTATTAAAGCTTGGGTTTGACTCTATCTTCACCAATAGCAAGGCTATGATGGACCACTCAGAGACCTTGAAGGATCAAATCTCTCAATTGAAGTCCTTGGTAGCGAACATCTTAAGATGACCAAGAGGCAAGACACTTAGAGACATTATGGATGCTTGCCAATACACTTGGAGACAATGGTTGAGGAATTAATTCCCCTTCACTGATTCTTGCATCAGACTCCCTTGTCTTCAAATAACACCACTAAGATATACGAGTCCCTAAACCTAAACCATTCAATGGTGCTTGAAATGCTAAGGATCTAGAAAACTTACTCTAAGAAATGGAGCAAAACTTTAAGGCTTGTTATGCCCATTGGAGTGAAATGTTACCATTGACTACCATGTACCTTATTGGGGATGTCAAAATTTGGTGGAAAGACAATTAGAAAGGTCGAAGATAGAAATCTAGGAAATGTTGAAGAATGAGCTACATGATTAGTTCCTCCTTGGTAATGCCTCCTAGATAGCTATGGACTTGCTTAAGAAGCTTAAGCACATAGGCATCATACATAAGGGATTATGTGAAGTAGTTCTCCTCATTAATATTGGACATCAAGGGCATGTATGAGGAGGGAAATTTGTTTAATTTTATGTCTGATTTATAGCTTTGGGCCTAGACATATTTACAAAGGCAAACTGTTAAGAATCTATCATCAATCATGTTTGTGATATAAGGATTAACTAGCGGGGACCCGTGTGATGCACATGATTTATTAAGCAAAAGATAAATAATAGAAAGGTTCATTTACTAAAATACCCTTATAGTTTCATGGATTTATTAGAATCTACCCTATAGTTAGCATTTTACTAAAACACCATTTATAATTTGCAACGGATTTAATTAATCTTCCATTAGATGATAATGGAAAATGACAGTGTTGACCCTAGTGTTCATTTAAATAAATTTAATCAAAAGAAAATAGAAATAAAAATACCATTATTGCCTTTAATAAGGCACAGGCAACCACTCTATTGGCTATATTTGGCCAATTTGTTTTCTTTATAAAAAAGTGTTAAGGGTATTTTTGGAATAAAGATTTATGGGCCTAATGGCAAAACAAACACTCCTTAATGAAAGGATTATTAAGTAAATAAGTTGTAAAGTATATGAGATGTTTTAGTGAAATGAAAACTATAAAGTAGATTTAAGTACATATGTAAAACTATAAGGTGTGTTCTAGTAAATGACCCTAATAGAAGCACATAAGAGTATACAATTGTTTTATATTTTCAAGCTTTTAAATAATTAATAGTTATTCATACTTTATATACTACTTTTAATAATTTTTTTATAATACAAAAATAAAAATAATTAATTTCAGTTAGGTTTATTCATAAAACTTATGAAATCAACCAACCCGATCAACTCGACCTGAGTTGGTCGGTTTTCTAGTATTTTAGGTCGACTTTGGTTAAAAAATTTCCCAATTTGACCAAGTTAGATAAGTTTCACTTTGGCCATTTGTAAATCGACCAAAATCGAACAACCTAACCATGGATATATATTAATATTTTATATTTTAAATATGATTTTTAATATGAAAGAGTGGGAAATTTCCCATACTTCTTAGTCTAAAATGTTTGATTTCATAAATCTATTTTTTTTTAATTTATTTTTTAATAATTGCACTATAATTTTTAAAATTAAATTAAAATTTTAAGTTTAAATCTTTTGAACCAACCGACCTTTTGTGAAAACCGACCCAAATCAATACAACTTGAGTGGGTCGATTTTCACAAAAGGTCAGTCGGTTTCAACTGACCAACTCCCCAACCTGACCAAGTCAGTTCGGTTGGCCAAATAGCCTATGGCCGGACCGAACCAACTCATGAACACTCATAATTTTAGCTAAATTAATAGYCTTATCTTCAATAAATAACAATAGTTTAATCTCCAATAATTATTGAAAATTATAGTGAAAATACACAATTATTGAAAATATATTGATAATGAAAAGATACAAGAATTACAATAATTACTAAAAATATATTAACTTAGTTAATAATTAGTATAATCTCAAATAATAGTTTAATCTCTAATAAATATTAATTAATCAACAAGTTATAACAAAAATACAACAAGTACAATAAATTAAATTAAAAAAATTCAATAATAGTAGTTTAATCTCCAATAATTATTGAAAGTTTTATGTTAAATAACGAAACAAAATAAATTTATACATAATCATTGAAAATATATCTATCACAAAAAATAGTAAATAATCACTGAAATACAATAAATATTAATTTTAGTATATATAATTATATAATAAATACAAATTAAGAGTTTAAAATTATTAATAATAAATATTAATTTTTTGAAAGTTATTTTCTTGAATTATTACTTGATATAAGTGAAATTAGTTACTTACAATGTTATGTAAAAATATTAAATTATTATTAATTTCAATATTATGTTATAATTTTTTTTTCTACTTTCCATAATTTTTTAAAATTTATTACATAATTTCTTTATTTTAACTATTTAAAATCTAGTTATGTTAAATATTTTGTTATTTAAATACTTAAATAATATGTAAAATATTTAAATTTTAAAATATTAATTATTTATTGAATTTAATTATCCATAAAATCATAATTTATACTATTATTACATAATTTCATTNGTAAAATATTTAAATTTTAAAATATTAATTATTTATTGAATTTAATTATCCATAAAATCATAATTTATACTATTATTACATAATTTCATTATTAATTTTGTAATATATTAAATTATTATTAATTTCAATATCATGTTATAATTATTTTTCTACTTTGAAGAAATTTTTTAAATTTATTACATAATTCCGTTATTTTAACTATTTAAAACCTTGTTATGATAAATATTTAATATAAAATATTTAATTTTTTTTGTTATTTCAATTTTATTTTTTAAAGCTATTAAATATTATTAAATATTCAAAAAACATTTAAATTGATGATCCAAAAAAACATAATTTAAATTGTTAGTACATATTTTCGTGATGTATTTTGTAAGAAGATAAACTTATTTTTTGTATTTTTAATAAATATTTTAAAGTTTTTTATATGATTTTGTTAGAATATTTAAATAATTCTTAAATTTTTTTAATCCAAAGTTTCTTTAGATAGATATAGATAAAAAGTAGGGGAGAGGATAAATAGGAATCAAAGATAATTTATGAGAGAAACTCTTTACTAAATGAGAGATAATCTTGGAGATAATTTTGGAGAAAGTGGGGTATAATGGGAGAGGTAGTTTAGGAGAAATTTTAGGAGAAGAGATTATTTATGTTTTGGGAAAGTGCATCTTATTGGTTGTTTAAAAAATGACATGGGATAAAAAAATAAAAAAAAAAGAGAAAAAAAGAGAGAATTTATTCAATTTACTAATATTATCTTATTTATTATTATTATTGTTATGCCATAACTACCCTTTACTAATATTATCTTATTTACTAATATCTCTTCACTTTACTAATATTGTTATGCCATAACCACCCTTTACTAATATTATCTTATTTATTATTTCGAACATAAAATATGATAAATTTTTTTAAGAAAATTATGAAAATATTATATATATTTAATAAAATAACCAATTATGGATCTAAATTAGATCGGAACTAGGGCTGTTCATAACAAAACCCAAACTGACCAACCTAGTCTGATCCAACCCGAGTTGGTCGGTTTTTCTTCAGCACCAGTCGGTTTCGGGTTACAAAAAAACATAAACCGATGGTTTGGTTCAGTTTCGGTTTTCATGTGTGAAAACCAAAACCGACCTGAACCGACTTAGATATATATTATATATATATATATTTCAGCTTTATTTCAAAAATATACATATTATATATAAAATGTCAGTTTTAATCCATCAAATCATTTTTAATTTCCAGGCATCCAACCTTTGCTTTCTTAGACTTGAATCCTTTATCATTCACACCGAAAGAATCATTCACAAAACCGACCCAAACCGATTCAAATCGACTAAGTCGATTTTACTTAGTACTGGGTCGGTTTCGATTTCATTTATAGATAAACCGACCAGGTCGGGTCGGTTGGAAAAACACCAATAAACCGACCCAATTCGACCCATGAACAGCCCTAATCGGAACAGATAAGAACCGGAACCGATCCAATTGTTGGTTGAGACAAAATCTAAAAATCACGGAACCAGAACCGTTATAATGGATTCGATCGGTTCGGATCCATAAACCGACCAATTGACAGCCCTAGTTTCAATTCAAATACTCAAATCTCGATGACACTCGGCGCGGATCGCCGAGTTTTAAGCGTGACTCAGATTTCAGTGTTAAGCCGTCGTAAATAGCAAAAGGATTAGGTGCAGTTTTGTCAATATACAGAGACCCATTAGAGATTCAGACTTCAGACTGGATATTTGGGAAATTCGAGTCATTTTATCCTGTCCTCCAAGAAAAAAGGGGGAAAAAACTGGAAAAATTTCTTCCATTTCCGTAATTTCTCCATCTCTCTGCTTTCGGTTCACTTGATGGCTTCGACGAATGCTTTAACCGCTCAGTTTACGAACTTGCACTGTCTAAATGACCGCAGAAACCCCAGTTGCTCTTCAATCTCCTTCTGTGAGCCTTCTTTTCTTGTTCTCTTCTGCTTTCGTCTGTACTGTTCTTTTTTTTTTTTTTTCTTTTTGGTTTCTTTTGCAACTAGTTAACTATTCTGTGTCTAACCGTAGGATTTCGATTTCGTCTTAAGATGTTAAAATACGGACATTAAGATGCCGCAGCTGAAAATGTACACAGTTTGGTTTAATCGACTATCTAGTTGAAATTCAATTTGTAGACTATATTCTTTTTCGAAAGTTTTTGTTAAGCATCCTTAATGTGAAAATTTTGGTTAAAGATGCTATTCTTTTCTTTTTATTTATTACACAAAAGTGTGAGGTGGAAGAATGGATAATTTGGGAAGAATGGATACAAGGATTTTCAGGGAGAAATCATGTGAGGTGGAAGAGGTTATTTAATATATTGCAAACAATGTGATACACTAGGTTAGGGCTTTAATATTGCTTGATCCTTTTTCCATGGATGATTTATCTAGAAGATGGTCTGGGAGCATCTTCTAGATAAAACTAAATTTGTTTGCAATACAAGGATCATCAGGTGCTAGGCAAATGCTTCAGAAAAACGTTGGTCCCCACCCAGTCCCAACCATATAAAACTAAATTCGTGTGGTTTCTGCTTAGGAAATCTGGGGTTGTCTGTTATTGGTGAGTGTTCAGGGACCATAATGGATCCATCTTAGGTGTCTTCTCAGGGTTGGTAGGGCTGGAAAACTCATTGAGAGCAGAGTTATTATGGCACTCCGTACTACAGGAATTGAGATGGTTGGCAAAAAAGAGACTAGGAAGTCTAGGATTATGGCACTCCAGTAGAGAGAGATTTCTATTATCACGGAGGTAACTTATCATTCCTCCCCTCCTTAGGGATTTGGTGGATGTTCTTGGGATGTGCATCCATTACTCTCTCTCTCTTTCTCTGACTTTTAAATCAATATAAACTGAACCATAGGAATAACCTTGTTAATGTTATATAATAGTTTAGAGAAGGCAGCCATCCTTTGAAATTGGGATTCACCATTAGGTATTACATTATGATGCCAGTAAGATTCAAACGATGTCATGAAGCTCTGAATTACATGGTTTCCAATACCAACTGAGTTGCTTATCTTCTGTACCAAAATAAGTGGATACTAAATCTTTATCACATGCTGCTTTTTTGGTTGGAATTGATTACTGAGTTACTGACTTTCAATTTAGTGCAAAAAAGGGTCTATTATGTATCTGAATTTGTTTATTTATATTGAAATTTATCTTCTTGCACTGCTTATCAGGTAATAGACTAAATTCAAATGCAATTCCAGTTGGTCTACCAAGTTTATCTTGGCCTCGAAGGAGATCTAGGCATATTCAGAAACCTTTACATGTTTATAGTTTATTTGGAGGGAAAAAGGACAACAATGAGAAAAGTGAAGATGCACCATCGAAGGTGAGATCAGCTACTTAATTTTCTCTTTTTTTTTTTCCTGTTTTCCTAAGTGAGCTCAGCTACCTTATCTTCCTGGTGGAATGTTCAATAGGTTTAGTAATGAGTCCATCTCTTCAGTTTTACACTAATAAATGGTAATGCTTTCATGTTTATGTAGAGATTTACTGGCCTAATTCACATTTCTCGTAAAAGCAACTATAACACTTAGTAAATATATCAAAGACACACACACACACACAAACACACACTAATGTGGAGGTTTGAAAAAGGAAAAAGAAGAAAGGAGAAAAATAGCCAGATCTGATACTTCCAAGAGTCTCTAGACAAGTTTTTTTTTTTTTGTGTGTGTGTGGATCTTTGTAGGATGCACTGTCCCAGCCACTCTAGGCTTGGAGAAATATGAGGTATATTGCAGTGTGGTAAGCACCAAAAAACTCTCAGCCATGTCAGATACTCAATTTTACCAAGTTTGTATACCAAAGGTAATTTCATAATAGTGTCTTTTAACCATGTACCCACCTGGTCTTTCTAGAAGGTGTTGATCTCTATAAGAGCCTTTGGGGTCTTTAAAGGTTCTAAAAAATTCCCATTGGTTGTTTAGTGAGGTTGTTGTCTTCTTTTACCTCAGATTATTGTGATTTAAGTTTTTTATTTAGCAAGAGATTTGCCAATCCAATCTCCAGATTCTATAAAATCATCAGTTTTTCTTCTATTCTATTCCTTTACTATTCTATTTCTATTTGTTGCTATCTCTGATTTCTTCTCATACCCATCATTCCATCTATTTCTTGTCTAGTTGCTATCCTAAATTTCTTGTAATTACTTGATTAATATACAACACCTTTTCTTCTATATTTCAGATCTAAAATCCTTCTATAATGTATAAACCTTAAATTTCCTCTTTCTATTACCTGATCTTAAAATTGATTACCCTTCTTAGCCACCATGTGATGTGCAACCATTCCAGGACTTTCCCTTTCCCAACCCACATAACACGCACTTGCATCAATACAAGCGAAACTTTTATTCATGATATGGTCAAAAGGATTCCTCTAGGTCAATAAAAAATGCTCTTTATAGTATTCTCCATGGTTGTCACCAAGGTTCAAAGTATTGATATGATACGCCCCGTATCGGGCGTATCGTATCATATCTTTTGGTCTCGATACACCTATTTACGGGTGTTTCGGGACCCTGGTTTATTTCAATAAAAAAACTATTAAAAAACATCTTTAAAAATCATATTTTGAAAAAAAAAACTAAAAAAAAAACCATTGAGCGTGTGTTTTTAAGTACCGATACGCCCCTGCCGATACACACTGGAGGTTGACCTTGACAGATGGCTGGATCCCAGGTAACTAGTCTGGTCAACAGGCTATATGTGATGCTAAATGATATAAGAAAAACTTATCCATAAAAAATAATGTAAGAAAATTTCAAACATGATGTGTTTGGTGATACATAATACAAAAAGCTTTCTATCAAGTTAATATATATATTTTTTTTCTGTTTCTCTCAACTTGTTATTCTAAATGGGAAAGGAAAATCAAGGTTATTCATTGAAAACCATTAAGATCACAACTCACAATAATTAGTAGACCTGGTCGAGTCATCTGGATTTTTTTTTTTGAAAACTGGATTTCTAAGAGGCAAGAACATGTACAAAAAGTGCCTATATATTGTTTGCAGCATTGGCATTCAGCTTGTCATACAAGAATCAAAGAATTGTAGAGATCCAATTGCCAGTGAAATAACTGGCTGGAGTTTCCTCAAAAAGCCTAGAACCACCAGCCCATCTCCTCAAGGTCCATTCCACTTGCTAATAACAATGTCAAGTGGAGCGGAAAGGTCAAACAATTCCACAGGAACTTCCCTCTTTCAGAGAAACTGAGAAAGAGCCACTTCTCCAGGAAGAAAGCAACCCAGCCAAAGTGGGTGGAAGGGCCCAATGGACCTGAAACAGCTGAAAGAAGTGGAGCCAAATCTGATTGTGCACCACAAAGGCAACAAACATTGTTCAGCGCCATGCTCTATTTCACTAAAGCTTCAATTGTTTGAATCCTATCTCTTCCAGCCAGCGACACTAAAAAAATAACCTTTGTAGGCACCTTGGACATCCAAATCCACTACCATTCAGCCTTTGCAAAGGGACCCAACAAAGCACGAAAACATAACTTAGTTGAAAATCCCATTCTTCTCCCCAGTCCACAGATGAACAGCTTCAGACCCTGGGACAAGCTCTACTTTATGCAGTCTGCTCATCAAATCCAGCAAAGAAGGGACCTGTCAATCTTTCAAATTCCTCTGGAGGGCGGAAGCTAGGAGACCAGACCACCTGTCCATTAAACAACTTCACAGAACTGCTGACAGTTCCTTGTTAGAAGCAATTGCAAAAAGGAAGGGTGCAGCTCACAAAGGGGTTGATCTGAGCACCAGGAATCTCTCCAAAAGTAAATACTATTACCTGTTCCATAATTCCCTTCGGCACACTAGTGCCATGGGATAGCTGAGGTTCAAGAGAAACCCAATCCATTGGTGCTCTTCCACACTTGCCTTCAATCACCTGCCACCACAAGTGAGACCTTTCTTGCCCGTGCCTCCATAACCATTTTAATAAAAGAGCATTGTTCATAGTTCTCTGATCTCTAATACCAGCCCTGCCTTTCTCCTTGAGTTCACAAACCAAGTCCCAAGCAATTAGGTTGAGTCATCTGGGTTTATCTGGTTTTATTTCATATCTAATCTAATAATTAACCTAAACCTGATTGAGGAATGGATCTCAGGTTTTCTGAGTTGATCTCTCAGGTGGCTATGATTGTGGTGTTGTAATCAACCCCCAAAATAGAAAGCAAACTCTCCAAAAAGTTTATGGATAATGGAAGCAAAGAAAAAGACTAATAGTGCTGGGGATACACTTTGTCTACAAAAGATTCTACTGGAAATGGAATAGACAAAAGACATACTGTATACATCTGTTTAAGAGTTTTGTTTCAGTTGTAAATCCCCTTTGCACAAGTCCTCAGTGTACAGGGGTATTTCATTGTACCTTTTGATTTTCTTTAATACAATATGATCACTGCTGTATCATAGCTTCCAGATCATATTTTCTTAAAGAGCCTTCTGAACCTATCATTGATCATATTTAATGTATCATCTCTAGTAAGTGAAATGATGCCAATTCCATGATACAAACCTCATTTTGATGAGGATACAACGCCAATTTCTCATCCTTTTCCCTTTACTTGAGCTTCTTACAATTCTCTCCCTTAGTTTCTGTATTTCTCCCACATTAACAGTCTTATCCCAATTAGACCCGGCCCACCCATTTTCTCCATTTATTCCCTCTTAATTTCCTCTCTGCTATCTCTTTCCCTGATCTCTTCAAATATGTTCCCTTCCTCCTCCCTTACCCTGCCTTATACTCTTTCCCTATTACCTTCCACTTCTCTCCTATCTGCACCTGTCTCTCATCCTTTTCCCTTTAAGCATCCCTCTTCCATTCCCTGAAAAAAGAAGAGAAGTAAAAGTTATCTCTAGTCACACCTTCCTATGGCTCACTTTGGGGCTTTTGCAGTAGCTTGCTGTCTTTATGTTTCTTCTATCTTTTTGAAAATAGGATTGCAAAAACCATCCCATTCAATAAAGTAGAGACCTAATTTTTTTGATAGGTAGTACTAACTTTTATTCATTGAATAAGATCTGTGCAGTAGTAATTACAATTTATACAATAATTAAGCTAGCATCAGGTATCTAAATCCAAATTACATTTGAAATCCTGTTACATGATTACTCCCCAATACAAGTTTTCCCTATTAACTCTTTGCCTTGCAAGTAAGTCTTCTACATTCATTGCTGTTCTATTAGTCCAATTCAAGTCCACACCAAGCTCTCTAGCCAATTGTTTAGTTTTCCTCACAGTATGTCTGTGCTGCCAGGTTCCATGAGCCTCTTTGTGGAGCCATTAGTCTGGGAATCACATTCAACCAAAATTCTGCTCAATCCAGTCTTTGGAAAATCTGTAAACCTTGGATTCAAGCCCCCAATTCCTCTGTTGTAGAGTCCCCTTCCTCTATTTGACCTGAATAGATAGCCAAGAAATTCCCATTTGAGTTTCTTATACCCCCTCCCCCAAATTCCTGTATTGACCTAAGGCTTTCCTCACCCTTGCTTCACTCTCCACAGCCTTGTCCAATTTAATAATTTTCTCAACTTCAAAACAGTGTACTTAGGTGTCATCTAGTGGTTAAGTCTTTGGTTTTTGAGCACTAGGCTTGGTTTCATTCTTTGGGCTCCGGTTTTGGGTCCTTTGTTATCTGGTTTAAGGGGAGTATGGTTGGGTTGGTTGTTTTGGCGTGGCTTTTGCATATGGGGTTATATAGCGCATTCATTGTTCATGGCTGCTTTTTTGCTGTGTGGGCCTTTCTTCTTGTATTCTCTCTTCATTTTTTTTTTCTTTTAATAATTTTTTTCCTATATACTGCCAAAAGAAATCTAGATATCAACTAGGTGTTTTGGAGTCCAATCACCTGCATGACCAATAAGTCAAGCAGTGTAGGTGTTTTAATGGGCATAAATAAGTAATTGTGCTCCTTTTTAAATGTTGGCGCATATGTAACCCGATTTTGGTAGATACAAGTTCATGTAGACCTAAATATTAGGGGTTCTAATCTCTCTCTATCTGTTCTTGCCTATGCATGTATTACTTTGAACCAAGGAGGTTGTTTAGAAATCTTGTCCTTCATTCCTGAAAATCAGTGCCACTAAATTGTTATTTAATCATGTGATGATTTCTTTACCAAAAATAGAAAAAAACCATATGATGATACAATTTGTAGTTTCATGGTTTATTAATTAACATTTTTTTTTTGAGAAAGTATGAAGTATTTCATTAAAGTATTAGTCATATATGTACAACTAGGCCTTGCTCAACAAGATACTGAGCATAGAACCTGTACATTGCTTCTGTTCTCAAGATACAAAATGTGTACTATATTCAAAAT